TTCTGCATCTGATATATATGACTAATTATGAGTTGTAATCTATCCATGACTATTGATTACCAGTGAGTTGCCAATCTGTAGTAATGATGGAAGTTTCCACACTATGAGTTCCATACTCTGATGAAATCACACATGCAGATCAAAAGGTAAGAGATGAGAGGTAGAATTAGAATGTAGTAAGATCTTAATAATAAGAAGTTTAAAGTTTTTATAGATAACATTAGGAGTTTTTCAAACCAGTGAAGTGAATTGAGCTTTGACATAATATCCTCAAACCTAGGATGCAACTTTGCATACAAGTGCTTATTAAATATTTGTTGAATTGGAATATTGTTGAATTGAACTCAGTTAATAACAACAGCTAGCATTTATTTAACACTTACTATGGGCAGAACACTGTGCTAAGCACTTTACAAACATCTCATTTGATCCTCTCAAAAACTCTGAGAGTAGGTGCTATTATTATTTCCATTTTTTTTACAGTTGAGAAAACTGAGGTAAATTTAAGTGACTTGTTCATGATAACACAACTAGTAAGTGTCTGAGGTGAGTTTTGAACTTAGGTCTATCCTGACTGGAGGCCCTGTGCTTTATCCATTGCACCACCTAGCAGCCTTCACTAATTTTACAATGATAAGAGATAATAATTACAGTGATTTGGGAGTCATATTTTGTACTGACTTTGAACTGAGATGAGGAAGCCCCAAGTTGAAGACTGAAAGAAGCAAAGGGAAAAGCAGTTAAAGAGCAGATAGGAATTTTCACAAAAGAAGGAAAAGGAGCACATGTTGTATACACATTCCAGGGTATCTTTAGGGAGGTTAACTTTTCTACATTTTGAAGAATTTATAAAATCAGGTATGTGGGATTTTGTAGAGGAAAGCTGTCATAAACTAATGCGGAAGATGGACTTTCAATTTAGTAGGAGGATGTCTTATAAACAAATTTTTTTTCCCCAGTGATATATTTATCCCATGCACTAAACAAACACAGATCAGATTAGGAATTTATTTTGTGTTTAAAATGTTTATTGTTTAGCACCATTGAAAAGGAGAAAAATGAAAGGATTCTCTAAGTGCTTGTAAGTGGGAAACAGAAGGTTCAAAGACATACCCAAACTACATGTTCAGTAAATAGAGAAGATAGCGATAATGGAATAGAGATGAGCAGAGGATAGAGTGTCTCATAAGAATAAACAGTAATTTTTAATGTCATTACTGACTTCTATAATTACTAAGTTTAAACCAAAGAAAACAGATGTCAACATATTTGGTAGCAAGCACAGGTGAAAGGAGGAAGAAAGAAAGAGAAGACTTTACAATGGCATTTTACAGAGGGCAGTTGGTAGCCTGAGAAAGGGGAGGGAGAAACCAATAAGGTTTGCAAGTAGGGTCTTAACAGAATTGATTTCCTCCCACTGGGTGGAACCTTGTGAGAAGATCTAAGTCCTTACTTGTAAAAGGAGGCAATGGTACTTACTATATGATTTCTAAGATCCTTTCTAGATCTCACAGTCCGTGAGCCTGTGAAAAAATATAGCGTCTCTGTCCTCTTCTGAACTCATAAACAGGACAAACACATGAGAAAGAGACACATGATTTGTAAAGAAACATGAGAATGAACACAATGACAATACTAAGTGACATTTAATTGTTGTTGTTTTTAATATTGATGGTGTTGAAAGCATGAGATGGCTCCCATAAGTAGAGATGTGAGAGAGCTTTGAGAAAGCCAGCCAGCTTCAGGAGAAAGGATGAGGAAAAGAGAGGTGGTAGGGAAGAGCAAAAGAAGGCAAGGGACCAAAAAGGAGATGGCAGAAACAATGAAAAATATGATGGGTGTAGGAGAGCAATGAAAGTCTAGGGAGTAGGATAAGAAAAGAGTTAGGGGGAGGTGAAACAGGGTAAAAGATGATAATAGCTAAAGGGAGGGTGAATGAAGCATGGAAAAAAAAGAGAACTAAGCTATGAGAGGAAGATCTTGTTAAATCATTTCTTTAAATGACAGTCACCAAGTTTGAACCAATAATAAAGTTTCATGAGCTTTATTACAGAACCCAGAAATGGTTCCTGTTCACTGAGGGTTCACAATCTAAACTTAGACTGAAGAATGCTGCTGTTGACAGAAGGGAGATTCCCAGTCTTACTGTTCCTCTGTAAATGTGTCCAGATTCCTCCCAAAGCACAATGATACTCACATATGTTACCCACTCCTCCCACCCCCCAAGTCATGGGAAAAAAAGTTCAACAACATGATGCAAGTGGTCCAGCAATGTCCCTGTTTTCTGTAATGCTGGCCGGGTGTCTAGGGTGATTACTGAAAGCTATTGGGGTGGTTTATGAGAGCTGACACTTCCTGCTCAGCTTTTATCAGCCACTGAGCAGTTATCGTTAACAGTCTCCTCTGTACCGTAGTTGATGTGACTGTTGTAAATACCACTACGGTGCAGGCTAATTATGCTTCATAAAAAAAAAAAAAAAAAAGTAAGCAAGAGGCACTGAGCAGCTAACCCAAGACACTAGCTGACCCGGCACTGCGGAAAAAGGTGTGGGAGAGGGAGGAAAGAGATGATCCTATCTCTGTCCACCTTTCCACCACCCCCTCCCACTCATTGCCTCGCTCCCCTCCAGGTGGCCCTCCCCAGCCCAAACCCTTTACATCTCTGCCACCCTGGGGGGTAGGGAAAAGGTCATTCTAGGTCATGGGCACCGCCAACGCCCAAGAAATCTGCAATTTCACTCCCTGCTCTTATCTTCCAGCAAAATCTGCGTGTCCCTGGAACATCCAGGACATCCTCCTGTCCCCAGTTTTTGGGGGTGTAATAAGGTGGAACCAAATTCCCCTCCGAAAAGCGCTCTCTCTCTCTCTTTCTCTCTCTCCCCCTTCCCCCCCCCCCCCCCCCCCCAGTGTTTTTGTTTTGTTTTGCCCAGTAGGCGCAGTTGGCTTTTCCTTTCTGGGTTGATCGCCCTGCAGTCCTGAGTTTGGCAGTCTGTGGGGATTTCGCGAAAGTCTGGAGAACTTTCAGTTTCTTTGCTGGAGACTCAGAAGAAACTCTGCCGGTGTTCGAGGGTTGTGAACAAAGAAGAGAGAAAGGGGGCGGGAGAGAATGGGAGGAAGGAGGAGTGGAAGGAAGGAGAGAGGGGGCGAGGGGGCGAGGGGCGAGAAAGAGGGAGAGTGAGGGGAGAGAGAGAGAGAGAGAGAGAGAGAGAGAGAGAGAGAGAGAGAGAGAGAGAGAGAGAGAGAGAGAGAGAGAGAGAGAACTGGGAGTTGCAGTGAAATAAGCAAAAGCAGACTAGATAAAGTGTTTTCTGGGGCTACATTAGTGTTTATGTCTAGTATTGGGAGGACTCCACTCTTGCACTGGGCTGGGTGCTTTCGGATCGGCGGCTGCGGTCTGCGGATTTCTTTGTTCCGCGCTTGGGTTGTGCCCTGTGTACACTGATGGTTGCTATCAGAAACTTGTTCAAAGTCCCAGTTTATAGAAAGGTTTCAATGTGCAGTTCCACTGGCGAGATTAGGTGGAAGAATCTGCGTCCAATTCCGCTGGCGATTCTGCTTCTGAAGACGGTTAAAAAAAGTTCAGCTTTCTTTTCTGTTTCTGGTTAGATTTTTTTTGGGGAGCACACTAAAGCCCATCCCTTCACGTCTCCCCCCTCTCACCCCTCCGGCCTCCCAACCTTATACCTTCCTAAGGCTCTGGGAGTCTTCCTAGCGGTTGGGATGAACACAGTTGGTCATAATGGCGTGGTTTGGGGGAGGTAAGAGACAATGCTGATCTTTTTCCCCAAAGTGCCCTCTAGGGTGAGAGTTGAACTGTTGGACCAGCAGCAATTCACTAGCGCCTCTCCTATAGGACTGACTGCAGGGATTACTGCAAAAGTTGGTGGCCGAGGTACCGGAGCTGCAGAAATGGCAATCAAATATGATATTGTGTGTGTGTGTATGTATGTGTGTGTGTGTGTGTGAGAGAGAGAGAGACAGAGAGACAGAGAGACACACACACACACAGAAAGCAAATGGAAAATAAAGAGAATATGAACGGGGCAGTGATCTAAGTCACTAAGTACAAATTACCCTGCTTACCTGCTTGCAATAATTTAGGGTAAGCAACTGAATAGGATTAGAAGAGGAATTGGGGATTGTGTCCATACTTGTGAGATCAGTCCCTCTTCGTCCCCCAAACTACTACTAATATTTAAATCTTGTTTTACAACTATAATACAATACTAAGAATTATAAATTCCACCCGAAAATTCACTTTTCAGTTTAGGCATGAGCCTGCGGTTTATGTTATTAGAAGAAAGGATTCCTGCAGCCTGCGAATCCAAGCAAGAAATCTTCCGACCAAAGCACTTGTGATTCCAATAGCATTGCATTGCCTCCTGCCTCTCCCTCGCTTTTTCGCAAGTGTTCCTCATCCCAAATGAAGTTCCGAGCTCTTGAAATGTTTGTTCTGCCGCAGAGCCGCGGTAAGACTACTCCACTAGAGCCCGGAGGGAGAACTGAATCTCTATATTGCAGCAGGTACGGGTGAGCGCTAGGACCTTGGAGAATGCTCCCAGAAGCAGTCAGGACTACCTTAAACCCAGCCCAATGCCTCTTCCTGCGCCACTCTGCGTGCTGGATGGAGATATACAGTCAAGAGCCGCAGCTCAGTGCTGGAGTTCAACATTTCACTGGGAGCCCTGCAGAAGCAACACCTGTTTCACGCCAGCCAAGAAGGCATACAGACACTCGTACGTTTTCCTCCTTTGCTTGTTGGTCGTCAATAATTATAAGCCAATGGACATCTTCTGACCCGCTGGAGAATTCCGGATAATAGATTTGGACGTCAAAAGTTTTTTTTTCCCTTTTTTTTTCTTTTTAGGGGGGGCGGGAGGGGAGGATTTATCTCAGCCTACAACGAGAGATTTTTTTTTTCCCCTTGAAGGATTCATGCTGATGTCTGCAGAGTCTGTTAGAGAGTAAAAACAGCGCATGCCTTCCTGGAGTCAGGATCCATAAATTCTGACGTAGCCTGTGCATCTTAAAAATCCCTATAATAACGCCTAGGTATTTAAGTTGCTATGGTCATTCTGATCTCAAACCAAATGGAGAAACTACGGATTTTTTTCCTCATTACGGTCGGATGGGATGAAGACCTTACTGCCTGCTAAGCGCTGGGGATCTATAGAAATACATATATATGTTTATAAATATGTCAGTGTGTGAGTATAAAGTGGTGGTTTCTTAGACTATCAGTGGTTTGACCTTGAACCTGTGCCAGTGAAAACAGCATATTACTTTTATTTATGCATTTAATGGATTGAAGAAAAGAACATTTTCTCTCTGTAACTGCAGTAAGGGAGGGGAGTTGGATATACCTCGCCTAATATCTCCCGGGTTTGACACCATCATTATTGTTTATTCTTGTTCTCTAAAAGCAGAATCTTCTGATGGCTCCCTTAGGTGAAGTTGGGAACTATTTCGGTGTGCAGGATGCAGCAGTACCTTTTGGGAATGTGCCTGTTTTGCCGGTGGATAGCCCGGTTTTGTTAAGTGACCACCTGGGTCAGTCCGAAGCAGGGGGGCTGCCCAGGGGGCCTGCAGTCACGGACTTGGATCATTTAAAGGGGATTCTCAGGCGGAGGCAGCTATACTGCAGGACTGGATTTCATTTAGAAATCTTCCCCAATGGTACTATCCAGGGAACCAGGCAAGACCACAGCAGATTTGGTAGGTATACAATTAACCCTTTAGTGGTCGTGTGATGAAATGATCTGGTTATAATTAACAAAAAGGTGGTGGCGGTGTTGGTGGAGGCTGGAAAAGGATTAGAATGACGATTTTTGAAAAAAAAAAAAAGATTTTTGTTTGCTGGCTAAGAAGAAAATGCCTCCGGAATTGCAGGTCTACAGCTGGTACAGCTGCAATTCAAACAATTTTTTTTTTTTTGGAGGGGAGAGGAGGTGGGATATGAAACAAAATCTTAATTCTTTTGGGATCAGATATATGGGAAGGTCGTTCTTAAGAAGTTTCTGTTGAACTGACTAATTCCAAAAATTACTAGGTTTTAATCATTAACCACTAAAAACTTAAAAATATAGTTTCCTGAAGGGAGTGGTCATCGTCCTGTACCAAAAATAAGAGACAGGTTTCTTTCTTTTTTAAAAAATTAATGCTCATTTAAGTAAACTGCTTGAATTGCAAATCTACTGTATTGTTTATTCCTATGGGGTTAAGGGACTTAAGTCATATTTTAGACTCAAAGAGTGGTGGAGTCAGAGGCATGTGGGGGAAATTGCTTCTGGAGGGCATAGGGCTAGATAAAATTGTGCTTGCAGGTATCAACTTAAGATCCATACTCTTTAAATGCCATAAAATGCAGAAAAAAGTGGATTTCGTGTGTGTGTGTGTGTATGTATGTATGTAAAGCTGTGAGCTAATTTTGAAGAGCATTCCGAAGATTTCATTTGCAGAGGACGCTATTTGTGACTCAGCATTGAGCGTTGCAGACTGGAGGTCTCGTGGCTTCATCCACTTTTAAGTGCCTGCACACACACAGGCACACACGTGTCAAATAGGCCTGGAGCTGCTGCTGGTGCAACCTTAAAGACCCAACAAGATGATTTAAAATAACTGAGTCACAGTGTGTGTATGGGGTGGGGGGAGACTCCAATTATTTTTTCCCCTCTTCTCTTAAAATAAATAGAAACTAAGCGCCAGCTTGAGCAACCAGGTTGTTAGAAGGAGTTAACTTCTGAGTGAACCCACCTGACAGTACTTAAACTAGGTCGTAAAAAGAAAGTCCTGCGGTGATCCGAAACTGCCCCCCCCAGCCAGATGTTGAACAAGCTCTTAACCATACCTTATTGCTTCATGGGCTGTAGATGATGCCAGTCTTTTGAGGGATGATAGCCGAAGGGCTCATTATGGAAGGTTCAGAGCTTGCAAGGTGAATATTCACAGGTATAAAAGAATCTATCAGGATGTTCTTCAGCCGCTTCTGCCAAAAGGGATTTTCTGAGCCACGGGACCCACGTTCCTTCCTCCCTCTCCCTCCTGCTCCCTCTCCCTGTCAAGGGAAGCACCACCAATAACTTTGAATTGTAGCTCCTCGCTTTGCAAAATATCTTTTGGACTATTCAGTTGAAAATAGCTTTCTCAAAGAGATGAAAAAAATGAATCTATTGGATGCTGCAGATCGCAGAATAAACTTTATGGAAAGAGACATTGATGAGTATCTGTTAGGGGCTGCCACCTTGCTTACAGCTTAATACTACAATCCCTGGGAGTGGGATGTGCGTGTGTATGTATGTATGTGTGTGTGTTGTGCGTGAGCGGCTGCCGGCCTCTAGGGACCTAAGCTGCTCCCTTCTTCGTGGGTTCGGAAGCACTTGGCACAGAGATCAAAAACTGCAGTTAACCACGGAGGAGGTGAGACGTAGCTGGCGTGCTCGGGAACCCCTCGCCGTGGGGTTCAAGTTGTCCCTAGCAGGTGCCTGCTCTGTGCACGGCTGCCGCCGCGCGGGGCCACGGCGCTCGCGCTCCCACATTTACCGGCACCGCTACGGCATTGGCGGCAGCGCCAGCATCAGCGCAAGGAGTTCCGCGGGGTCCTAAACACGCTCCTTTCCCACTCCACTTTTCTGCCTGTCTTCCGAGTACCATCAGCTGCTGCCGTCTAGTACCGTAGTGACCGCATATTTGAAACATCTATTTTTAAAAGCAGATTTCTAACCGCAATGGCAAAGCTCATGCTTTTTTTTTTTTTTTTTGCTAAACTTTTACTGTCAGCTTTGTTTTCTCTTTTGTGTCATCCACATTAGATGAATGGCTAACTCTCTTACTGTAGGCTATATATACGACGGTTTGGGGGACCCTCCTCCCTTGCTCCCCCAACCCCTACTAGATCCCTTTCGCCTCTTTCTGAAGGGCTTGACACATATTTAAAGGGTCCTGCCTGCCTGTTCAGGGAGCTTTGCACTGGGTCCTTTTTGCCGCGGTGCAGGGAGCCGGGGCTCGGGGGAGGGGCGTAAAGAGGGGAGCTGGGGTTGGGGCGGAGGTGGACAAAGGGAACCAGATAAGATTCGTAGAGATGTGGGGATGCTGCAGTCAAAACACTTTCTGGGATTACAACTCGTGTTAGTTTCCCATTGTGGAAAACCTCGGTGTCCTGGAGGTTAAGCTTTTTCTCTGGTCTTCTTCGACCACCCACCTCTGCCTCAGTGTCCCCGCCCCCCTTTCATAGAATGATCCCCGTGGGACGGGAGATGGCCTTTTAATGCACCCGGTTTGGGCAATGCAGGTTTTATTGTGTGCATGTTAGCCAGTCTGTCTTGATAATGCAGAAGGTATAGAAGCCTTTCGGAAAGCCCCGCACCCCACCTCCAGTACAATTCAGTCTAAGCTCAGTGAAAGATGATTTGCTCCAAACGTTGTCATCCCCTCTACTACCCTTGAAGCACTAGGGCGCTACTCCTCTCTCTCTCTCTCTCTCTCTCTCTCTCTCTCTCTCTCTCT